GGAGCCACCACATCCTGGCACAGCACCAGAGCCCTGCACCAGCCAGGAGTTCAGTGCACCTCCCCACTCTGATCTCAGCTCGGAGCTATCTAGGGCACATGGGAACTGCCAGCATCCTTTTAATTAACCAGGGATGGGAAGTGAGGGATTGATTCCTGGCTTCTCCATTGGCGTCTGTGTGTGCCTCAGCCCTGTTCCCACCCCTGCTGTGCTCTGGTTGGGGTGCCAGGTAACAGCCACCCATTCTGAAGCAGGTCTGAGCCTCGCTGGGCCGTGACGCCCAACGCTATCACCTTGTGCTAATATTTGCTCTCAGAAGCTGCTGTGGCAGCAGGCGAGGACTTTGCTCTGCCACTGGCCTGCTTCAGCGTGTTTAACCTTCCAGTGTGTCCCATCCCAGCAGGGCTGGGGGTTAAAGAACCACAGAGCAGAGCCTTGTTCTCACCTTTCACACCACTGCAGCATAAGAGAGTGTTTGAGTCACTCAGCCAGGTTAATGATCTAGTTGTGTGCCTTGCCTTGCACCGTCCCTTCCCTGGCTTCACATCTGGCTCGGTTACAAGAGGCTCTATCCCCAGCTGGAGAAAGATGGACATATCCCACATCTTCTCTTGCTGCTCCCTGGAGGAAGCTGCACCGTGCTGTGCGCCGGCTCCGTGTCACCATCCATCTCACGGCTCACCGAAGCCAAGCTGGACACCACCAGCAACGTGTGGCTGCTTCCTTCCTCTCCCCTCCTGCAAGCAAAAGGGCTCCCGAGCTTCCTGGTGAACTTAATGCTTCCCTGGGAAAGGCAGCCGCCTACTTGCCAGCCTTCAGAGGCTCCCTGCAGGCAGCAGGGCGCGATGCACGATGTGGCACTTGGAAAGCATGATGTGGCTTCCAGTCACGTTGTGAAGCTCTAGGTTCAACAAGGAGCCAGCAAGGGCTTCTCCTGGCTCGTGTCTCGACTAGCACCAGGGGGAGAAGCTGCATTAGTTTCTCTTCCTGCCTGACAGATTTGGGGATGTGGGGATAGGGATGGAGCTGCTGCGGATGGCACAATCCCTCCTCCTTCCCTCCTGTGATGAAACCTCCCACTTTAATTAGAGCCAGCAGGCAGAGAACCTCAGTCTCATTATTCCTCCACAGCAGGACACCAGCAGCATTCCTTGGGCATCAAAAGGAGGATTAAATCAGGCTGCAAGTGAGGGCGTTGTTGCCCCCTTCCCATCCCTCTGCTCCAGAGAGGAGGGTGTTAAGCCTCCAAATCACTGTGGTGCTCAGTGCATTGGACATGGCACACAGGCCCTGGTGACAGCAGAGCTCCCCACCAGAGGGGTTCTTTGCAGCTTTCTGAGCTCCAAATCCATAGTGGAGAAAAGCGGGGATGGAATTACTTGGGATCATTGCACGTTTTCCAGGTGTAGGAACGAGTAAAGGAGGTTTCCAGACGTGGGATCTTCATGCTTGGGACGTTGGGCAGGGAACAGGGTGCATCTGAGGGAGCTTTGCTTGCCCTGGCAGCGACCAAAGGAAGCAAGAAACCATGCTCAGGTTGGGTGCCTATCCATATGGAGCTGCTGGAGAGGTCCAGAGGAGGCCACAAGGATGAGCAGGGGCTGGAGCAGTTCCGGTATGGAGACAGGCTGAGAACATTGGGGCTGTTCAGCTGGAGAAGAGAAGCTGCTGGAGACCTCAGAGCAGCTTCCAGTGTCTGAAGGGTGCTGGAGAGGGACCTTCATCAGGGGCTGGAGTGATAGGACAAGGGGTGATGGGTTCAAACTGAAACAGGTGAAGTTCAGGTTAGATCTAACGCAGAAGCTCTTCCCTGAGAGGGTGCTGAGGCGCTGGCACAGGGTGCCCAGAAAAGCTGTGGCTGGCCCATACCTGGAAGG